TCTCTTTGCTGTCGGATTCCTGATAATTATTGCTTCACTGACACGACTGGTTTCACTGATGTCTGCATGAATTATTACACAACTCTCAGACTCTCACTCGCTGCTGTGGACCTGTGTGTGCACGTTGTGCACTAATTAAACAAAACATCTGCAGAGAAAAGGCAGCTGCTATGTAGTTTTTATGTCACTTTTTGAAACTAAATGATTCTGTGTCGTCACTTCAGAACGTTTCACAATCGTTTATGTATCATCTCTCATTACAGTGGCTCGCCTCACTGCCGGCCTTATTAGGAAGCACTGGTGTGTGTGTGTGTGTGTGTGCGTGTGTGTGTGATGTCATGCTGATGGCGTCCTCATCCTGCAGCAGCTTCAGATGTTTCCGATTCTTTCTGCAGGAGCTCACAGTGAAACCAAAGCATTAGAAATATGCTGCAGGTATTTAAAACACGCAGCATGTGAACACGACAGGTTTCATATCACAAGTCTTTGTTGGGATTGAAAGTGACAGAAAACACGACAGAAACGCAGAAACATCACGGAGCACAACGTCCAACAACTATCAAACAACTCTTTCTGAGAAACGGACACTTTTGACCTCAATCAGAGTCGTCCTGTTTACCAGAACTGCAGATGGGTAACTGTGACGTTAAAGATGTCGGTGCTCCTTCAATCCTTTAAGTCAACTGTATCTTTATTCTTTTTGTTGTTTTAATTTATTCATTCTTTTATAAATTGCAAGGAAACAACGTTATCTTTGTTTTTCTTAATCTAATCTCTTCTGGGTTTTTGCATTCAGTCAAAGCAAGTGACGTATTCTAACAAGCAGTCGATATTGAGAGTCGAGTATAATAATGACTTTAACACATGAGGATATCCACTCAGGGTCGGTTAAACAAATGTGTTTCACGTGTTTATTTTACTTACGTTACTTTGTAAAGAAGGGGATTACAGGCAGGATTCACATTTTAAAATACTAAAGTAAAGAATGACACAGTTTCATTATGACATAGTCTGTTAAGCAGAAAGATGAACAGCATCACAGAACAGTGCAATTTATCACTTTCAAGTTCATCGAGCTTCTTTCTGCAGAGAGAATCTCTCAGCGAGAAATGAAAGAACCTCTTCTGAGTTCTGCTGCAGCTGCAGAAACACAGGACCAACTAGTTCACTGTGTTCTAATGAGCTCTGCTGCTGCAGCAACTCAACATCACTAATGTAAACTCAATATCACTAATGTAAACTCAGCATCACTAATGTAAACTCAACATCACTAATGTAAACTCAGCATCACTAATGTAAACTCAACATCACTAATGTAAACTCAACATCACTAATGTGAACTCAGCATCACTAATGTGAACTCAACATCACTAAAGTGCCGAATGATTCCAGTTCTCAGATAATGGATGAACGTTTTCACAGCTGGAAGGCAGAACCTGAGCTGTGCTGTGATGTGTCCATCTCTCTGCTCCACATCCTGAGTCATGCTGCTCTTCTCTTCTCCTTACTCAGCATGTTTGGTACTCAGGTAACCCAAAGTACCCTCAAGACTACGTCACGTTATTGAGGTGAATAATTACTTATTGTGACGCATGGATTAGTTTTAAAGTCGATCAAACCGGAGGTCAAAGACAAATAACAAAACAACTTCTTTCATTTCTCTTTAAATATTGTTTTGATGATAATATAATCAGACCTAAGATCTGCTCTCAGTGGCTGCGGATCCATGTCTTGTAGATGAAACTGATAATAAATATTCCAGGATGCACAAACGCTGCCGGCTCAACAGATCAGAAGAAGAGATTTAAAGGAAGAGGAAATACTTCACGGTGCATGATTCATTTAATCTTCTTCCTCCTTCATCATTCCATAGAAACCCACTCAACGTTCATCAGCTTTCTTTAGTAAGAGAAGAGAATATGAACGATGTCACGTACTCTGTGATCTCAGACACAGTGAACCTGAGGATGAGGACGAGACTCCCACAGAGCCCACCAGTGGTTTCACTGAACACTGTGTCAGATATCTTCAGACACTGCCGATTAGCTTAAAAAACCTTCTCTGAGTTGTTACTCAGTAGTAAGCTGTCTGGCTGCTGTGTTGAGCAAGTAGCTGCAGCCAGCGGAAGCTATAGGAAACTAAAGGAGCTGAAAGGATCTCGGGTCAGTGTAAAAAGTAAAGAATAATGCAGCTTTCACTGGATTGAATCAGCTGCACGCTGTTGATTTGTTCTCCTGTCTCATGAATATCGAACGACAATAAATCTGTGTTCCTTGTATGAACTCAGATGTTCGGGGAAGTGTTCTAAGAAAAGGTGATCTGTCCTCTAACAGCAGTGCATGATGGGATCACATGTGTTGTAACATGATCTGAGGTGGAACCCGACAGGCGGAGCTTTCCGGGAACAACCAGATTAACACTTTGATCAATCTGACATATTTGCTGAAATAAGAGTTTCATTGTTCATCAGACATGAAAACACACGTTAAAGACCACTAAAGGTTTTAAATAATTCCTTTAAATCTGCTTCTGATTTCTCTTCATCACGTTTTTTCATGCATTTCCTGCCGGCAGTTATTCCATCATTTCAGCTACAAACTGTACTGTTTACATGACTCAGCAGTATTTAGTTGTGTTTTACTCCAGACCGTTCTGCAGTAACTAGCAGCATGAGATGAACTGCCACCAGCCTTGAAGACGTCGTGTTGGTTCTCACAATGTTTGAAGTTAAAAGAAGAAGTCAAGCCGCTTCTTTCACGACTATATCTTCATATTTGGACCATTTCCTACTCATCAGAATAGTTTTTAATAAACTCACAAGTAAAAAGAGATTTTAAGAAACACTGAAATAGAAAATCTTGTAAAATTCATGCAAAAGCTGATTTAAAAAGCATCAAATCCATAATTATCCTGATATAAACAGCGTGTCTGACTCACACACAGCGTGTGCATTGAAATAAAGTGTCTTCCTCTTTGGTTTTGGACTTTTCTAAATGTAACTTCCTGTGATTTCACCATTCAGAGCTCGGTGACAGAAATCACATGTTGGAAAACTTCCAAAACTCCGATATTAGAGCGGAGATATGTTTAGGATCAAATGACATGAAACAGATAAAGTGAACTCAAAGCATTTTATTCTGTCTATGTGTTCATGCTCACTTTGTCTGAAATGATATTTTAGAGAATAAACTTCTGAAGACTTGATTGTGAAAGTTGAACACGTTTTATTCTTTGAAATTGTAAACGCAGCACTTTAAACTAAAAACACTAAATGTGCAGATTTCTGTTCATAGTTGTGTGTTTCAGTCATCACGAACTTTCCTTCTCTTCAAGCTAAACTATCACAAACTGTCAGTTTCATTTAGCACATAACAGAAAAATAACTGATTCATTCGTCTCCATATTCCAACATATTCACATCATGTGATACTGTGTGATATTCACATCAGATCTTCAACCTCTTCACCTGAACTTCCTCAGCAGGTTTCATCGAGTTTCATCTCAGAGTTTTGAGCTCACGAACATTTTGGTGAAAGATGAACTTCTTGGTTTTTACACTTTTCATATCCACAAGAGACGAACATGAGCCACATTTCAGAATACTGTAAATATCATTGAATTCAATGGAAATACGTTCGTTTTCAGGTTTCGTCAGTTTTCTCTCTCAGCATGAAGTCTGTCCGTCGTGCAGCTCTCAGAGGAAACATCATCATTTCACATCACAGAGTGTGTTTTGAACTCTCTGTGTTTTGACATCATCTTCGTGACACACAGACGTCCAGCTGCAGGTCATCAGGCGCCACATGAGAGAACCAAGGAAATGAAAGATTCCAACAAAAATGACTGAAATGTCTGACTGTAAAATGTTACCGATGCAAACGTAGAAGCTGACCTCACATCTGCTCAAAGAAGGAGAAGAAATGTGGAAGAATTGAAATACTTTGATGTCACTCTTTATTTAAATATATATAAAACTCTCTTAGGTCATTTAAGTGCAATGATTCCTTCACTTTGAAGATGGAATCACTTTAAAATGATGATAAAAAAACACGAAAATATCACCACTGCAGACTAACTAAATATGTCATTTGTGTGTCTTATTTTTCATTATTCTGTATTTGTTAAAAACTGCTCCATGACGTCATGTTTCTGAAGTCGCTGTCCTCGGTGCACTGACCCTGTTCAGACAAAGAAACAGGACGGTCGGTCAGAACGACGTCCGTTCCTCGTGTTCAGAGTCGTGTGTTCAGTAGAAACACTGACGATCACTGAGCAACGTGTTCCAGCAGAGTAACTCTCACATGTGACTGTTTGAGTGTTTACAGTCAACTAGCAGCTCCTTGGAGGGACTTCTGAATATCTTCTGAATATCTTCTGAATATCTTCTGAATATCTTCTGAATATCTTCTGAATATCTTCTGAATATCTTCTGAAGGTGAAGTGAGCAGCAACATGGAGTTATTATTATTGAAGTTATATATTAGTCCATGAAGGATGTTTGATTTGGTAAAAACAGACACATGCACAGATCATAAAAAGTATTAAAAGTCATCATAAAGAAAAATAAAACAACAATGAAACATGAATATTGAAGCACTATTGTCATATTTGTATGATTAGATTAGACATTTTCATACTATGCATTACATTAGGAATGCTCTCTTCCTCTCGTTGAATAGATGACATTCTTCATCAGACGTGTCCTCCCTGCTGAGTGTAATTATTGGACCAAACCCTGATGATTCAGCTCCACCGCTGCCCGGCTGCTCCGGGATCCGGATCCGCGGCCTTCAAACCTCAAACCACATGCAAATATTCCGGTTCTTTTCCCTCCTTGAGCAATAAGGTGCCGGTCAGGGAGTGGCCTGCTGGTGGTATGGGCGTGTCTAACAAAGCACACAACCTGAACATGAAGATATAAAGCGAGAGCTGCGCTCCTCGGACACTTATCGGTCTTTCTGGAACCTGAGACAGAAAAACTAAAACCAAGAGAAAAAGAAATGTACTCGCGATCAAACAGCGTGACTCTGACGGTGCAGCAGGAGAGCTTCGGCTTCCCCAGGCTGGCGACCCGCAACACGGAGCCCGAGGTCTTCACCTTCGAGCGGGTGCCGGCTCAGGCCACCGCGCTGCTCTCTTACTCGCCGATCCGGCCGAGGAAGCGCTGCACTCGGGTGATGTACCCGGCTAAAGTCCGCATGCACCTTCCGCCGCCGGAGAAGAGCCCGGCCAAGCGCTGGCTGCTCATCCTGTGTCTGGTGGTGCTGTGGCAGATCTACACCGAGGAGCCCTGCGCCGACACGCTGCCGGGCAGCGCAGACGGCCCGGTGTCCGTCAGCGACTACCAGTGCTTCCCCTTCCACCAGCAGTCCGCGGAGGAGCCGCAGCAGCAGCTCACAGACCTCGGCCCCGGATCCGAGCTCCTGTCGGCCACACCGAAGATCTGAGCGCTGCACGGTGGCTCCTTCGGTTGAACAAAGCCCGGATAGGAGACCGGGAGCAGCTGGTTTCAGCAGGGCGCCATGGAGAGCTAAACACGGCGGCTCTGCTGGTCTACGGCACAGCGGGTAGCGACAGCTGAGACACCCGGGACTGAGCTACTCGTCCAGGAGTCCAGTGCCTCCGGGATCCACGGTGAAACGAGCTGGAGTTGATCCCGTGCAGCTGCTGGAGATCAGCGGTGCGCACCGCGAGGCACGGCCGGGCAGAGAGCTCCATGCGCCGGCTTCTTCTCCTCCCTGCCAGCGGGGGAGGACACGGTCTGGAACCGGACACAAGAAAGAAAGAAAGAAAGAAAGAAAGAAAGAAAGAAAGAACTATGAACACAAAGACTGAAACTTGAAGTAAAGAAAACTTGAACTCTACAGTGTGTTTTACACACTGACTGCACTCTAACTGGATGTTTTACATGTTTATAAAACTGTCACTTGAACGAGCAGAAACTGACACTGCCTGTTGTCTAAATGTCTTATTTAGTTATTTATTATATTTGCTATTTATTGATTAATAATTTAAAGAATAAAAAAGTTTAAAAGAAGTTCGTGTTTGCTGCCTCATTCTTCTAAATGTTGTGTTTGATGGATGTTTCTGCAGAATTCATTGGATCATAATCAAGACGTCTGCATCAGTTGCAACATATTATTATATATTTAAAACCTAAAGATGTCAAACACGTCTTGTTTGACTCAACTATGCAACACTTTAATGACCTTTAATGAACTTTATGTCGCTGCTCTCAGGCTGGGTGCTTTTTATATATTTGGCTCATCAATCTGCAGAAAGCATCACAGGTGTTTACCCATCATGCACCTGCATCTTTAATTCTAGAGGTGACCTCTAGCTGATCAGCTTCATGTGAAGATCTTTATTACTGCAGAACCAGAAACACTGAAGCCGACAGTGAGTCACGTGAGAACAAACACTTACAAAGAGAGAAAGTTCATGAACGCTGTGAGTTTATACTGCAACGATGCTAATACACATATATATATATATATATATATATATATATATATAATACACACATATATATAATATATACATATATAATACACACATATATATAATATATACATATATAATACACACATATATATAATATATACATATATAATACTCAGCATCAACTTCTGCAGACTCACTTTCCTTTTTTCCACGTTTCATCTTGTAAAACGTGGAGTTGCTGAAACAGGAGCTCGTTGTTACATCACTGATGAGTAGTTCAGGTGTCCCTGCAGACTGTTGTAATGACGAGTTAACTCTCCTGCATTACCTCATAGAGAGGGCGTGGCCGTGATGATGGAGGTTGGATGCATCATGTTGTCAGTATACATTGAACTGGACAGGTGAGGAGACAGGTGAGGAGACAGGTGAGGAGACAGGTGGGGAGACAGGTG